GTCGAGACGTTTCTGGTTTCTCATTTTCTGATTTCTATTATCCCCGGCTACTGAATTCTCCATTACAAGCTGGTGCTTACCATAATTGGAATATTTAGGCAGAAACTAGTCGAGTCGATCGGTCAAGGCCTATTACCTATCGATCAACCTCGTTTCCAAGCGGCGGCGCGGCAGAACAGCTCTTTGTTCCCCGTAACTGAAAAAGAATAAAGGATTTCACGGCTATCGGACTCAAGACGAAAGTGCTGAATTTCTGACCGAATGAAGAATACGCAAAATATATTTTCCCGGGAAAGTGATATCTACTTTTTGTTGAGTATCTACCCTTTATATCCTGCTAGAACCGTCCTAAGAAAAGGCCAATGTTTTGAAAAAAATTAAGAGGAGATAAGGTTGTTAAGAAATTGGAAATATTTTGGGTGAATTATAAAACAATTATTAAATTCGGCTTTCGTATGATGAAAAAAAATATGCCTCAGTCACTAATTGTCAGTTACTTAACTGACGAACAATTTTTTGTTTTGTTAGGGGCGTTATGTCGAAGTGGCTGGTTTAATAAGGGCAGCTCCTGCTACAAGATTTCCGACAACAGATTGAATTGGGAAGCAGCAAAGAATGCCTGTGAAATACTGGACTCTACACTTGCTATAATTAGCTCTCATTCTGAACAACAAGCACTTAACCCTTTTATAAACACTACTACCTGGATTGGTTTGCACAGGCAACAAAGTAATAAAACACTCTTTTTGTGGCTCGATGGATCACCACCTATCTACACTAACTGGGGTAGAGGTGAACCCAGTAATATCGTTGAGGAGTGTGTAGAGATGAGGTCATTCGACGCTTCATGGAACGACCTGCCATGTTCTCGTAGACATCGTTACATTTGCGAAAGAGGTACAACGTAATAAGTTAGAGAACAACATAGCTTAATGTACACGTTGTATTTTAACAAGAGGATATTGTTGAGAAAAGAATTGCCTACATAGTAAAAAATATTGCCTTGTTTTTAATAGCCATTCCGCTTGTCAAAAATGTTCTTGTTTTGTTGACTTAAAAAGAAGGCAGTACTTTCGTTGCGCGCCACGAAAATCTCAATTATTTTTCTTCTAGATGCCAACGAGTGTGCAACAAAGCCGTGCAAATATGGAGCAACCTGTAAGAACAGTATCGGAGGATATAACTGCATATGTGCAAAAGGATTTCAAGGAAAACTCTGTGATAAGTGTATGATATTAATGTGGACGTTTAGCTGTTTTTATTATTATTATTATTATTATTATTATTATTATACCCGATAATCCATCAGTATGCGTTTGTGGGAGCATGTTTACAGTAGATCACGCGATGATCTGCCAGCGTGGAGGCCTAGTTATTCAGCCCACAATGAAATACGCGATCTACGGGCCGAGCTGCTTGAGATGGTTTGTTACGATGTGCAAGTTGAACCGGCATTACAACCTATTACAGGCAAAGAGCTTGCCAGAGGGACTAACCAAGCCCCTGATGCTCGCCTTGACGTCCACTGTAGGGGTTTCTGGGAGCGACAGAGGGCTGCATTTTTCGATGTAAGGGTGTGTCATCCCAATGCGGACTCGTATAGAGATCTTAGCCCCAAGCAAATCTACAGGATTCATGAAAACATCGCGTAGAACGCCCGGTCACATCCGGGAATTTAAAAGGCTGAAGCCGCATTCGAGCCACGATTTGGTCTTTAAAATATGGCGAAATAATAAGACTGAAGCGACTTTGAGAGTTTTTTTTCTCTCTGGTTGTGAGTTACTCGTAACCAAATCTCACTGGGTACCACCGGAATATTAATATCAAAAAACATCAAATTCAAGATCTTACCTTCGATTAATGCCAGCTTATCGGATTTCACAGGGTTTTTCGCGCTAAAAACCAACCAAAAAATCGCCATTTTTGTATGGATTTTCACTTGCGTAGACTTTCGCGGAAAGATGACAACCAAAGTTTGCAGAAATCGCGAACGGTACCACCTGACTGACATCTCTCGTCTGCCTTTAAAACCAACACAGTCTTTTAAACCAAAGAATGTGTTGGTTTAAAACTAGCTGGGTTTTTGTTTTCCTTTGAATTTGACCTAAGCCCGTGAGGGGTAGCCTGCAGCGCGAAGTAAATTTCCAGAAAACGTCTTTGAAAGCCAAAAAAGATTATCCGCGTTTCGCCAGCAACCTTTTTATTTTTTCAAACTTGTTTCCAGTTCTCCTTGACCGTTTTGTTGTTTTTTCATCGTGTATGCTGGCATGTATGCTTCATTTAGAAGTGTCACGGATAAAAACAGCAAAATACTAACTCCCACACGGACGGGAAATTTTTTGTTGACCTCAGTGGACTGGGAATTCTACGCGACGTGAAAAGAAGCGAAATTACAGAAATAGAGCAAGGCACATTCACTCCACTGGTTTACAACGACGGGAGGGATGGCTGACGAATGCCTGAGATACCACTCAAGATTAGCCGAGCTATTATCTGCAAAAAAGCAAGAGAGCTACGCCACAACAATTCCATGGGTCAGGGCGAAAGTGTCCTTTGCAATTTTGCGGAGCGCACTCGTATGCCTCAGGGGATCGAGAACCCCGAGAAGGAGGAACTTAGATGTTAAGGACAGGGATCGATTAGAAATAGAGAAGGGTCAAGCAGGACTTCCCTAGACTCAACAGCTATAGATACTTTATTATTGGGATGTACACAGAAATTTTCATTTTTTAGTTTATAGACAGTTGTTTACATTTGCTCTGTTGAAAACCACCAGACCACCAAGAAGTCCTTTTTAACTATAGTTATACTAAATTTGATTTAATTTGTAATTTGAGAACAGTTTAATAAAGTATGTTTTTTTTATTAAAAATTATCATTATCATCATTATTACTATTATTATTATTATTACTCTGCGTAGCCGGTGGGATTAATATGCGCGTGGTACTTTCCTGGCGGCGAAGCTTTGGAGGGTTTTCGCTTTTGTCGCGGCTCCGCGGCAAAAAAAACAACAGCATTCGTCCATGCAGGAATCCCGGCGCTACGCTGACACGCTGACTATTTTGTATCAAAGCAATTAAAAGTGATTAAAGTATTTTTCACTCGGCGAGAAAATCACTAACAAAAAAGGTGACAATTGTTTCAATTCGCTAACTATTTGTAAGTTGTAAGTGGGTGGAATATGATATTCCGGATACGTGTAGTGCTGATTAGGATTATACCTTGCTTATTGCTTAAAACTGTTCGTGAAGGCAGGCAGTCTGCATAGATCACTTCAAGAATTCATCTAACCATTAATAAGCTTAATTACACTTAAAACTCTTGGTTCTGGGACAAAAGCCAAACTTTCAATGAATTTTTCTCATGGCGAACTGCACAGAACACTGTCCTTAATCAGCATGTTCACTTACGTATCGCCAAGGTAATACCAAAGGCTTCTTTGGCCGCTCCGCATTGTCGATGTGGTATGATCATACATATATTTCATTGTTTTAAAACCCCGTTCAAGGCATTGAATGTGTTATTCTGTATCTTTCAGTTCCCCCAAATATAATAGTGAATCCTCCATGGATAGTCGATACCGAAGCTGGAAAAAATGTCACTTTGACATGCAATGCTTCTGGTGATCCCTTGCCAAGTATCACATGGACAAAAATCGGTGTTGCCCACGATCAATTTAACTTCACTGGTCACAAGCTGCATATTCTTAATGTAAAGAGGACGGATGTTGGGTTATACAGATGCACTGCAAATAATGGATTTGGAAGAGAGGCTACTCGTGTCAGCGTTGTCAACATAAACTGTAAGAGTGGTTTCCGGTTGCGATCGCCAAAATCGATCGTCGTAAAACTGAGCTAGCTCTATCTTACGACCAAATTTGTTGTATCGCGCTGAGCGTTTTGCAAACTTCGAAGGCGTTTTGGGTTTTGCTGTTCCGTCATTCATCTTCGCGGGCGGACCTCTTATTAGGAAACAGTCGTTTACTTGAACGAGTTTAAAAGGTCATGGTTTGTGATTTGCGATTGGTGGATTTTGATCCGTTTTGTTTGTTTCTGTGTTTCAAGGTTCCTTGCTTGTGATCGTCCTGTTTCTTGCAATAAACAACTAGTTTGTGTCAAAAAATTTTCTGATCTTGCTTGTGAATGCCTATCCCACTTGCGAGAATAAAGCAATGTCTGGCTTCTTCCCTTCACAAAAATTACACTCACCATCACGATTTCCTTCCCTAGCCTAGAGTCATTCTCTTGCGAAGCTGGGCGAGAGCGTTGCGCTGTGATTTGCGTTAACTCCGACTCTACTCAAATTCTAGAAAAACCCAAAATCCCTTCCAAGTTTGCAAAACGCGTAGCGCTATACAAAAAATTTGTCTATAACGATCTAGCGTTATTATCAGCTGTTTTAGCGTTCCTAGCAATCACTTCTATCATAGCGTAAGCAGGCTTTTAAGGGTTCCTTATGATTTACCAGTTGTGGACATGGTTCGATTTCTGCTTATCTGACCTCTTTGGCATTTAGGACCCTTTATAGGATTACATTCCTTGGGAGCCAGATTGCTAGGCAAGTATTCGTAGATTTTCAATTCCGGCATTCTTGTTTAATTTCGTTGGTTTTTCGTCCTCCGAGTGAGCAAGAACCTAACTGTCATATAAGGAACACTCCTCAAATTTTGTCGCTTTTAAGATATTGTTAAGTTACAGTTTGACGATAAAATGGCTAGCATTGGTGTTTTATGGGCAACGGTCTCTCCAGTGATTTCTTAAGAGAAAAGGAAGAACATGACGTTGTTCTCAGACCTTGCCTTTGAATCAAACAAAAGCTAGCTACTTACATTGGAAGGTTTTACATGTTTTGTGTTTTTATATGTATTTCCCTATACTCATTTCCTCTTCCTCTTCTTCTTTTTTTTTCTTCTTCTTCTCGTTCTCCTTTTCATTTGGTGAAAACAGGTAGTCACTGTATATTGCAAAAGGTCAGCATAACAATAACAAGTGAACTATGGAATAATACATTGCTGGACAGGGAGTCGTTTGACTACAAAACACTGGAAACTAGTGTATTGACAGCGGTAAGTTGCTTGAATATAAAAGTTATCATACTTACAGAAGCTTGAAGTTTCTGTAGGCCATATTCTGGAACCAACTGGCGAATCGAATGAGAAAGATAAAAATAAGAAACAAGGAGCCTTCCTAACCCGATAGCATCAGCCCTTTTTGCGTAACGGTTGTTAAAAAACAAACAAACAAAAAAAAAACCTTTCGGCGCATCTTTCAGCTCGCTGTAATTTTGCTTCGAGGTATTGCGATAGTGGATACAATACAAAGTCGTTAAAATTAAGCTTCGAAAGTTTCAATGCCTCAACTAATTGCTTCTTTAAACGCTTTGGGCGCCATGTTTCTGATCTTCTTGATTGTTGATAGAGCTGCAAAGCACGATAATACTGTCTTGGTCACGCGATCAGTCTACTAATGTGTGAGGTGACTCTATCTAACACCATTTACACTTATCTGGGACAATGGATCTTCTAATTTTGCACTCTCAGCTTGACATTTTTTCTGTGCATATCATCATTTCTTTGGTCTATTTTACATTAAACAGTAAGTTGGAATTGCTTGACCAGACTTCAAGGGTTTTCATGGCGCTAGCGGTAGCGTCCAGATCGGAAGGGGAGCAGTGCTTCATGAAAGTCGTGTCGTCTGCATATTGGTATGAAATGCCGTGCAGTCATGGTTATCGTTAAGATCATTTGCGTATAAAGTTGATAAGGCTAGCTCCAACATCGAACCCTGTTCTACCCTGAATTGCACGTCAATCAGCTCGGATGTTTGATCATTCACTCGTGCAAACTGTCGTTTTTCACGCATGTAACCCATTTGTGCATTTTTTCAAGAATCCTGGTGTGATCGACCGTATCGAACGCCTTTGTTAAATCTGGAAATACAGGCATGATTTCATCTCTTTTCATAGCTTGGATATTGTCATCTCTGAAGCGCAATAATAACGTTGTTGTTAAATGACCTTTTCTGTAGTCAGGGATCTTCTCATTAAGTATGCTGTGTCTGTCGATGTGTGGGCGTTCGTACACTTTGGAGAGCACGGGTAGGATAACAATTGGTCTATGATCATTATATCCCCTTGGATTGTTAGCTTTAGGTACCTGGCATATCTGGAGGTTTTCAGTGCCTTTGGAATGGTGTTTTTCTCAATGCACCTATTTATTCTGTCGGTCAATGGTGAGGTGATGTAAGTGTATTCTGAAACAAGCTTGATAGAATTAGCAGGGATTAGATCAGGCCGGGTTGCAATCAGTTCTGATCTTTTTTTTTATAATTTGCTGCTCGATCTATTTAAAGGCGACTTTACGAAGCACGAAGGAGTCACTTTCTTTAGATCCCAATATTTTTTGAGTTGTGCTGGTAAGATGTCTGTTCAACTCATCAGCGTTCTGGCACGAATGGGTTTTGAATTGGAGTTGAGGATTCGGTGAATCTTGCGAGGTAGTATTTTGGTGATTTCGATGACAGTGCCTTCTGGTAATTGATCTCTTCGCCTGCTCCACCTAAATTCCTTACGTCTCTGAACTTTTTTCATATATCCTCCGATTTGATTTGGTGAGCTTGACAACGAAGCTGTTTCCTCTGTGCCTGAAACTGGTGGATGTCATTTGATTTCAAGAATGGTACAGGAGGGCGCGTAATTCTGACCTTCTTTAACGGGACGATTTGTCTAGACAAGTCGGGAACAATGAGTTAAAGCGAGAGGCATTTACTTTATAATATTCACCCAACGAGACGTATTCGAATAAAATCAAGAATACAAAGCCATTGAGAAGAATAAAATCGATGACAAAATAAAATAGGAATCATGAATCACTGAGGTCGAAAAGCTAGCCCAGTTTGAGGATTTGGGGAGACCTATTCTTACTTTTAATGAGTAATTTCAGATTTTATCTACTGTCGACTAAGTAATAGTACTGTTGGACTACATTTGATCTGTTATTTGATTTAATAACACCTGTTTTATATTCAGGTCCATTACTTTGATGTTCATATTTTTTTCCTCTTTTAGATGTTTAAGGTTTACAGCACCTGTTCGCAAAAACGGCTCTACCGAGTAGCAGTTGAAAAATTCAGGTATCTATTAATTAAAGGGAAAAAATACCCAATCCTTTTCTTAAACGGGCTAATTGTGACGAGGGTATTGCCGTTTTAGGTCAATTTGGTGCTACGATTATCACTTCAGCAATACAAAAAATGCTCTTGTAGAGATATGAATGAGATATCAAGCAGATCTCGTCAGAGAGCACTAACCATATATAAGCCGTTTTGGTGCTTTTTGCAGCCATAACATAAAAATTGCGGTAGAAACAAAAGACAGGAGAGAGATTCAGTGCCTAAGTAATTATAGTCGTAAATAACAAAACCGAACCATTTTGTCTAGAATTCAGTTGATAAGATAGAATTCAGCTGATCAAAATAATGAGACTCTGGCAGCTCGGTGAAATACAGTGTGCCGTACAGGCCGAAAAATCATAACCTTTTGTTATTACCACTGATGCAACATTAGAACAACAGACTTTCGCTCACTTATCGTCTTTAATTAGTATCACCATTTTTATTTTGTTCCTAGCCCTGGCAGTGTTGTGGCAACGCTGGTCATGTTTTTCGGTAGTTCAGTCTCTGAGCCTCTGAAACCTTTGCAGGATGAAATTGCTGACTCCAAACTTGGCCAGTTCGCCGTTGGTCGTCAGTTGTATATTTACCAGCCGATCCTTCCTCCAACGACTCCCCCATCAACAGGTGCAGACATTTTATTTTTAAAAAGATTTGCTTACACGTATGTACGTAGAAATAAGCCTATAAATGGTCGTTTCGGTTGGAACGAGGTGAGATAAAAGGAAAGAGTGAAAATTCCCACATTTGCCCTACCCACCCCTAGCCTTTTGAAATCAGTAGCTTTGTTGATGTGCTCTATCACTGTAATTTTTGCGGAAGAAAGAATCGAACAAGCTCTCATACACACATAGGTATATATTTTTTCAATGTTGTCTGGCGTACCTCATCAGAGAACTGCCGGCATAAAAATAGGAGAAACTCGTGAATAGACCTTTCCGCATTTCGCGCAAGTGAGTAAACATAAAGAAATGAGGACGGGGCTCGGGTGGAAAATTTCATATAAATCACTGTATTTTGTCCACCCGAGCCTCGAGTTTGTTCCTTTGTTTACAGGAATGCGAATAGTCTATTGTGTTATAATTGCAGACGCCCATTAACTGTTATTGACGCCAAGTATTTTTTCAATTATTTTATGCAGTACCGCAACTGGATTCATCGGACACACCAGCGAACGCAAACGAAGGTAAGTGATATTAGTCCTTCACCTTTTCTTGGACTGTTGTCTTCTCTTATCATGAAAAACTGGGGTTGTGTTTCATATGCCGAAATCTGAAATAATCGTAAGTAACAAAGGGTAGATAACAATAGACGTCCGTGTATGACCATGGATAAAGAACGGAACATGAATTGTAGATTGAAATCAATGGATTTCGGTATAGGGCGTTTTCACTCACCTGGCTAACATCTTTGCATATTTATTGGAATAAAAGAAACCGTTTCAATAATGAAAGAAGTCAACTCCCAGAGGACTGGTTTGGGACACCAATTTAACACTATCATTCATATTAATTTGCATAGTCACACTAATCCTTTAACTGACTTTGTTTTGCGAACAGTTTTGTCTCACCAACACAATAGAGGAACCGACAAGAGTGACAAACATGAATAAATCTCTAATTGATGTTATCTTTAGTCAAATGACCAGAACGTTCGGCTACTAGTGATCATGACCTTAATATTTACAATGTCAGGAAACAGAGATTACCGAAGTCTAAAGTCAAAGTAATTAAGTCTAGAAGTAAGAAACACTTTAATCAGAATGACTTCCTGGCTGATGTAGCAACAACACCTTGGGACACTGCTTTTATTTTTGGCGACATTGATGATGTCTGGGCCTACAGGTATAAACTATTTAATGAAACTGTAGAGAAACACGCACCTTTTATGAAAAAGAGAATCCGGTCAAATTAGCTCCCCCGGATCAATGTAGAGATAAAGAAAGCAATGCGATTGAGAAACAAGTTGTACAAAATAATATCATTGCCACCCTACTAAAGACTTATGGGAACACCATAGTATGCAAAGGAACTTAGTTACTAAACTGAAGCGAGTCGTAATCAAACCTTTTTGAGCTGACTCTGCATCTACTGCAACCACACCCAACGGTTTCTGGAAAAGACTGTAACCCCTGCTACCCTCTGCAGGGAGAGACGTCTTGCAGGAGGATAGTCCCTTAATGGATGATCGGAAAGTCGTTAAAGAAGTGTCAAATTTATTGAACACTTTCTCCTCTACTCCAATCCTGGATCAGTCCGCCCTGAAGCTTAAGTAGGGAGATTTTTTGACCCACCCTAGCATCACCATTACATTACGTGACTTCAAGCTGGGCTTTTCCTTCCAACCAGTACGTGTCTCATATATTGAAACTCTTCTGGGGAAATCAAGTGCAACAAATCTTGTGGAACTGACAAAATAATGCCCAAGATTCTTGAATTATCAGCGCTATCTATAGCAGTTCACCTAGCAAAGCTACTGACTTAATCTATGTATTACTACTTCTACGTGGCCTGCGGAGTGGAAGCTTAACCATGTGACGCCCGTAATAAAAAAGGATGATGCCACATCAGTATCAAACTAAAGACCTATCGGTGTCCTGTCTGTCATACCCAAGATCTTAGAAAAGGTCATGCTTGACCAGCTTTGCGATGCTTTTCAACCCTTCCAACACGTTTGGATTTCTTCGAAGAAATTCATGCTGCACAGCTCTGGTCAAAGTGGTCGATGACTGGTCTCAGTGGCTTTAGATTCCAAAAAGGTTACTGGCTCCATTGCAATTGACTTATCCAAAGCTTTTGATTCCATGTGTCAAAATTTTCTTGCAGAGCTACGTGCTTATGGCGTTGGTGAGGAGGCAATTGCCTTTTTTGCATTTAAACCTGTCTGGTCGAAAGCAAAAAGTTAAGTTAACGGAGGTTTCTCAGATTGGTTACCGGTGTACTGTGCAGTGTGTCTCAAGGCAGCCTCCTGGGGCCCCTTCTGATTAATGTATTTATCAACGATCTTCTTCTGCTCAACTTTCTTCCCTGCGGCTCTACGCTGATGACACTACCGCCTATGCATCCAATACCAACATTTCAGCTTTGGAACTGTCTCTTAACAAAGATCTTGAGAATCTTTCTTCCTGGCTTGCCACAAATTACTTGTCCGTCAATGGAAAGAAAACCCAAGTGATGATCTTGGGTAAGCACTCTGGATATGACTTCCTGAATATTCTTGGAGTTCATATCGACCATAAGTTGTCCTTTTTAGACCACCTGTCAACTTTTTTAAAGGAGGTCTACTCCAAGGTTGGAGCTCTGAGGCGAATTAGAAAGCTGGTGCCTGCTGACATCTAACTTGTGCTGTACAAGGCGAAATGTATACTTCCACACTTTGAATATTGTAGTCCATTACTATTAGGGATTAACAAAACGCTGGACCAGAAACTTCAATCTGTAAACTATTATGTTAAACAGCTTAGATTGTGATTCCATACTTTCTGCTGTAAACATGCAATCACTGGAACATAGACGGTACTTAATCATTTTTTTAAGCCTGGTTTCCATATGATTGCTACGATCGCTGCGATCGCAGCGACAAAAAGAGTTCAGCGATCGCAGCGACAGGACCGATCATATGGACACCACATTCCAGCGATCTTAGCGATCGCAGCGACAACGATCACTGAGATAGAAAAAAATTATCTCAGCGATCGTGTTCCATATCATAACTATGTTCGCTGGCATCGCTGAACTTTCTTTTCCCCTCGGGGATCGCAGCGATCGATAGAAACCGGGCTTTATCTTCCTTTTTAAATGTATAAAAGGAAACGGGCCTGACTGTATTTCTAATGTATTCGAACCTCGTCTATTGCGTTACAATTTAAGGAACAGTGAACACAATCTCACGCAACAATCCTATAATCATCGATTTTATCTCACTTACAAGGCTTAGCATTTGTGGAATCAGCTTCCTTCTTACATTAAGAAATGGGCTGAGTTGAATGAATTTCATAAGAATTTGAGACCTTTTAACATTATAAACTTAAGGGACAGTTGTAAATGTAATTTTTGTAATTTTTGTTTTTACGATATCTTAGAATTATTTTTAACTTTTTTTTTCTTGGGGTATTTAACTCATTCTCATGGGTTTTATATAATTAGTTTCTAATTAATTCAGTGGGATACGGGAGGGTGTTGCTTTGAGTATTTCTAACATAACATTCTCGGATATATTAATTTTTATCTTTTTTTTAAACATTTATGACCTTTTTAGACTACTTTTACTGAAATGGTTTACTATCATTAACTATTTTTATCGTCATACATCTACGTTTCATTCATGAGCGTCCAGCTCGGATGATCGGGGCAACCCCATCCCACGTATTGACAGAAATAAGTTGATTGACTGATTTATTGGCCGCCATTTCAATGTTTTGGAACATCAATATGGCCGCCGTGACGTCATGTGAAAACGCTTTATAAGAAAGTCTACCCCAAAAAATGGAAACAAACAAAGTTCATTTCAAATTTGTTTCGCAGATAAAAGACGACGCAAACGCACATCATATGCAATATCAAAGCCTCTGCGTAGTACTGATATTATTTCAATTGCGCAGCCATTTTCTGATGCTATTAAGATTTTTTTTTTCCTATCCAGGTGTTGAATGGAAGAAACGAAGTTTACTTTTACATGCAATTTACTTAAGTGTCATTTCTTTGCTTGTGGCACTTAATATATTACTGGTCGTTCGGAGATGGAGAAAACCGGTACCCAATGTTAAAGGTAACTGACACAATTTCTTTTCAGCAAAATAGTAAGTCATCTACAACGGATTTTTATAATTATTCGTTGAAGATTTTCTAGGCAGGTGAATTAAATACAATTATATATTACTATCTTTCTGAAAGACCCTTTTTTCTATGTCTCTATATTTCAATTTGCAAATAATACACAAGTCAAGCTCGTTGCAACGTCATCAACGTACAGACAATTTACATCACATTACGGATTTCTTTTTTAACAGGTCTTGCTAAAGTAACAAGGTACGTAATAACTTGAAGTGTATATTTTTACAAGTATTAGCATTGCAAAAGTTAACATACCTCGTTTACGATCGTCTATAAGATGTATCTTATCTGGCAACATGAGTAATTGAAATTGAAGGAATGATCCTGTCATTTAACTCAGATGATGTTTTTCTTTACTTTTAGGCTTCCCAAAACAAACATTTTTGACACGTTTTTTTCTTGCACGTAGCTTCATTTTTTTCCCATAAAATATCAAAATATGTGATTTGTATTTCTTTTTAGTTTCAGCAGGAGAGAAGAAACCTATCGGGACTTGGAGGTACACTTATAAGCCATGGAAACTGTCTTTTAAAAAAATGTCACGCAAAGAAACAAAATAATATTCGAGACTACGAGATACAAAAAAAATTGAAAAATCTGATTTTGCGATGTAAATGAATTAAATTTTGTTACAAAACTACACAAGATTTGTCAGCAATCAAACCTTTGTCTACATTCGTCTTTTTATTTTTTCTGAGTTTTCTTCGGTGAAGATCAGTCATGCAGTATAACTATTCTTTGCGTCTGCAATAGTCCATTTGCATGATGGCGTCATTTTACTACTACGACCAGAATCCTTCGGGTCTATGCTTTCTTGCGCAAATTGGCACCTTTGCTATTTAAACCTTGCTGGGATTACCAAATTAGTAGAATGACGCTATCGTGCAAATGACCTATTCAGCCGAGTGGGCATGCAATATTAATTCTGTATGTAGTAATTGATATAAGTTAAGGAATGACTTTATAATTATTTGTTACAGAACTCTTATTAACCCTCCGACGTACATGCAAATTTTGCAGTACTTCGAAACGATTTTACCTTCAGTGGAAAGCCTTTGATCTTCTCTACACGATAAGGTATATTTTATGGGTTGTAGCGTTGCTGGGGGCCTGTGACGTTACCAACAATTGTTGCCATCTTGGATTTTACCAAGAATTAGAAATCAGTTTAAAACCGCGAGAAATGGTGATTTTTTGTGCTTGAGATTAAAAGTAACACAAATTAGAGCTTAGCATGATTTTAGCCACAAGATTTACTGTTATTGTTGACAAAAGTTAAAAAAGACATGTACTTTCACTCAAAAATGACTTGACCACCTCCTACTTATGACGTTATATCTCGTAACCATAGAAACTGACCAACACTGAACTTGATTCAAAAACCTTGGGGGGGGGGGGGGGGTGGCATCCCCCCTTCCCCCCTTGTACGCCGGAGGGTTAAAGAGAACAGAAGTAATTGATTATAGCCTTAGATAAATGCAGATGAAGAAAGAGGATAAATAATGCTTTTAATTATTCCGTAACAGAGTCAAGGAACGCCACTTGCAGAGGATATTACTTATATTAATACACAAGCTGGGGTGGAGTTGCATACACAGTTACCTTCGTCGCATTCCGAGCAGCAGTTGTATGATGCCTGCAGCTACACACCACCAAATCCAGAAAGAAGTAGCTGGGAAGTGAGACGAACAGATGTCACCATAGTTAAAGTCATTGGGAAGGGAGCATTCTGTCAGGTTGCAAAAGCGGAGGCGTGGAATTTAAATGGATCGAAGGGTGTCACTACCGTAGCTGCAAAAATGCTCAAAGGTGAATAGTTTATGGGTATAACTCCTCTTTCTTTTCAAAGAACGAAAAAATGGATTTGCGCCAAATTTTTTCAACGCAAATACGATGCTAATTTGTGCAAACTGAGGAATAAGTCTGAACAAAGGTGGTTAATGCTAGATTTGCATACATGTACCTATTTACACCTATTTACCTCAGTTTGCGCAAATTAGCATCGTATATTTGCACTGAGCAAATTTGGTGCAAATCCATTTTTTCGTCCAGTTTAAGTACAGTTTGTCTTCGCAGAGCTACATGAGAGTCGTTTTCTGTTTTTCTCTAGGAAAAGCACCAGATTCAGACAGAAAAGATCTAATGTCAGAATTGGAATTGATGAAAAAACTTAAACCTCACCCTCACGTAATCAAACTTATGGGATGCGTCACTGAGACAGGTAATATCCATTCAAAAAGTAACAAGTGAATTTTAAAAAGTGAACATAAGCCAAGATCAGCTTATTACATGTAACTACACCATCCTTGCAGATCCCTTACTTGTGCTAATTGAATACATTCCATACGGTGATTTGTTGGGGTTTTTGAGGAAGAGTCGGGGCCTCAAGGACAATTACTATAAGAACCCGGATATTAAGCCAAAGACAACTCTGACGTCGCAGCAATTGATTCAGTTTGCTTGGCAGATCGCTGATGGTATGGAATTCCTTTCTTCTAACAAGGTAAGGGCAAAGAGTGAAAGATTTATAGTGATTTTGTATAGCATCACTTACAGACATTCACCACTGAGTCGGAATTGCCCTTGGCTAGTAGTTATATTCCCATCTCCCAAGAAGCGTTTTTCTTTCTTTCTGCTTGTTTTCCTCCGTTTTCTTCTTCTTTCACATTATTTACTTTGGCAAGTATCGTTTCGTATGCAAGGTTATCCATCGTGACTTGGCAGCAAGAAATGTTTTGGTTGGTGAAGGAGAGAAGTGTAAGGTGACAGATTTTGGGATGGCGAGGGATGTATATGGAGATGACATTTACAAAAAGAAAAGTCGGGTGAGTAATAAAAACCCAATTTTTTTATTTCATTTGTTGTGTGTTTTTTAATAGGCAAGTACATTGTGGAAGACAATAAAAATCGCAAGTTCTATATAATTTATTTACCTTTAGACAAACAGTTACCCTGTGGGCAGTGGTCCCTCCTTGCCAAATGTTGCAGGAGAGAAAAGCGAGCGATCATTTGGTTCTTTGATCGAGCCGCCGTCCGGCCTCATGGACGAATAAATTAACTTTGTCAAGTTCATGCAACTCTGCAAGCTTCGATTTACTCTACCGGTTTCGTTCGTTCAAAAAATACTTTTTGCGCCCAGTCAGAGACAAGCATTCGAATGAGTCGTGCAACTGGTTTGTTAAGGGTAGCATCCAAGGGTTTCTCTCAGCCGTTGTTGAAAACTTTGGCCGCCGTTTATCCCGACCTGACTGACCGCCACCGCTTGCAGAGTAACCAACAGCTAGGAACAAATACAAGACAGAACTAAACGAAAAATACACAAAACAAAACAAAAACAAAGAAACAATATTCGCCACTAAGAATTGGCAAACAAAACAATATAGTCAATTACAAAAACAGTTAGGCACACTCGGAAGAATGTTGAAATTATCCATGTAAATGAACTCTTTAGGGTCGTCTTCCAGTTAAGTGGACTGCTTACGAGGCATTACTTTATGGGACCTATACTACACAAAGTGACGTGTAAGTATTAAAATTTATGATGCGATAAGTTTTTGCACCTCTACTTATTAACGATAGCATTGTTAGTGACGGCCACTAATAACATTGTAATTCGCATTGTCATTTGGTACGCGATTCTAATAATCTTTAATTTCAAATATTGCATGATACATTTCCTTAGCAATGATTTAGTCTCAACGGCGCCGATGGTCAATGATCTTTAATAATAATATGCAAAAGATAAGGTACTAAAAACGTTTATTTAAAAAAGTCCTAACAAAAAATAAGTACTTTGGAAGTTACGAGAACTCGTTACTGCTTGTCACACCCGAGCAGCCTTACCCACTGGTGATTTTGTTGAAATTCATTTTCAAAACATAAACTACTAAAAGACGCGACTTAGCTAAGACACGTCTTATTCTAGAACAGCCCTTAACACCTGTTCTTAAGGTACGTAAAAACGGGAAACAAAAAACGCGCAACTTGTTTTGCAACATTGCTGCAAAAAGGGTTGAATAGCGATGTTGCGCGTTTTTCCACCCACATCAAACCTGTCTTGCAACAAATCAGGCTGTTAACAGGTTTAAACATGAGTGGTAAAACGCGCAACATCGCTATTCAACTCGTTTCGCAGCAATGTTTTTCCGTACCTTCAGATAAGACGCGTCTTAGCTAAGACGAGAAAAACCTTCGCGTCTTACGTAAGACGCAAACGCATAGTACGCATGCGTTAATTTTTGGCGGGAAAATTTCCGCTTGCCCCGCGTCCGATTGGCAGGCTACTGGTAGGGAAAAGCTGTTTATAAATTACAACGCGTTTTCGTTTCCTTGGTGATAATAATGATCGCCTTTTTCCCGAGAAATATACAGTGAAAGACCATATTTCTAATACTAAACTAGAAAAAGGCGATCATTATTACACCCAAACACGGCACAAGCATCTTTTTTTCCCATTACAATCTTATTCTAAGAAAACTTTAAGAAAAAATGCCCGAAAAGCGCTCGAAAATGCAAACGAAATGTGCTCATGCCCCCCTGGGCATCCTATAATACTCCTTAAATCGAATTAATTCAATATGGCCGCCGTATCGTTAAAAAGGTCTATTATATATATATATTTAACAATTATTCCACGAGGGCGCGTTGGATATGAGATGATAGATAGCCAACGAGGCGCATAGCGCCGAGTTGGCTATAATCATTTCATATCCAACAAGCCCGAGTGGAATAATTGTTTTATTAAAAACGCCCACAAAATCTCGTTGAATCGCCCCGACTAGAACAAACCGGAAAAGACAAGGGACTTCCGCTATTGACATGTTACACGTCTATCAAAACTGTCAACGCGCGAACGGACTCGCCTATAGACTGCATGAATGAAAAATCAAAACATTGTGCGATGAACATTAGTTTTTTAAAAACTCATCGTGATTCTAGGATTTTACACAGCAGAACAGCTTAAAAAACCTGGCAGATAATGTGAAGGAAAGGAATTTTTAAGTGACAGCCGTGAATTTGGATTTTCGGTGCAGTTATAAAAGTAAGAACAACGGAGAAAAACTACCGGTATTACCTCGGTCGCTTGTTATGAAGTTGTTTGAAGCTACAAACTGGTTTTGCTGAACGAGAAAAGAAGCTATACTGCCGCCTCGATTGCTCTAGTGAATGGCTGCATAGCCTGTATTTGTAGCTGGTTACTTGTGATTTATATTCTTGATGTCGGATAAACAAGCTGCAGTTATCTATCGGCGAGTGACTCGATCGGCGAATGGCTTCGCGATCATGAAGAAACAACACTTGTCTTCTTTCGTAGCTAGTCAAGGTACCTTAGTTCCATGTGTTTTCATGTGTTTTCGACAAACTTTCAAACAAGCTCTTGTGGCTTTTTTTTTGTTTTTGTCTTTTTCTTTCGTTGAAATTGCATTTCTAGTATTCTAAGAAATGAATTAAAACGATTTGCTTCGGGCGCCGTTCTATCCTTCGCGAAAAAAAATCTCAGCTAGCTTCCAATTTTAAACTGACGCGTACACCGACCATATATGGAGAACATGGTATATTAGCTCATATACCATAACGGCTAAGCCAATCAAAATGCTAGAATTGCATTATCCAATGATTCAGTTTTTAATAAATATATATATACATATATATACATAACAATGCATTGCATTATATTACATGTACATTAATATATCATATTTATATTACAGGTGGAGTTTTGGTGTTGTTCTGTACGAAATATTCACTGTGGGTATGTTTGCTTTTCGCATAACTGTTTAAAGACAAGTTGCGAGCTAAAGATAATACTGCATGCGACCTAGATAAATCGAAAGTCTTCTGTAAATCATTCATTGTATCTTCTATGTTTGTTCTGTTGTGAAAATGATGATTATGTTATGTTGTAAGCATTTCTTTTGCATAAATACAGTAGAATTACTACCCTGCGAGCAGAGGCTACATTTTCGCTGTGTTAGCTGGCGTGCGAAAAGTATCCTCTGCCGACACCCGTTCAAATCCGTTCAGAAATTTGGAAGAATAAATTAAAAAAACGGGTTTTTTCCTGTTGTTGACCGGTTTAGAGCACTGCGTGAGTCTTGCGTGAATCTTGCATAGCAGATGAGAGTTAGCGCAATTTTTTTATTCCCGCGAAACTTGCGCCATTTGACGACAGACCTGACGATTAATTTTGTTTGCGAAATCGCGTGACGAATTTCGTGCATGCACGATAGAAAATTAAACGGTTGTCAGCAGAGGCTACTTTTCGCACGCCAGCTCCTACAGCGAAAATGTAGCCTCTGCTCGCAGGGTATAAAAGTACAGGATTAAAAAATAATTAAACACAATTTGATAAATTGTGGAGCTCATTTTCCTGCAACGTCGTTGCCGTTCGCGTTTTGCAGGTGGATGTCCGTATCCTGGCATAGAGGGACGTGAAATTGCAAACAAACTGAAAAATGGCTACAGGATGCCAAAACCGAAACATATTGACCAGAACCTGTAAGTACTTTTCTACTGGTGCGAAGATAATTTCTTTTGCAAGCAGTTTATATCGAATTTTATAGAGAATTTGTTTACTTTATGCCTTCAGTGCTTTCGATGGAACCTAAGATATGTCTGTTATCTATAAATCTTTCTTAATCTTACCTTTTTTAAATTCAAGGTCATTCCTTCATTCATGTTTAGACTTTTCGTTAGCTAATACGTTTTCTCCATAAAGGAGAAAAAGTCTTAAATATTGATAAATTGTTCTTGAATCGTATGTTTGATATATTAACTGTTGATTTTTTTCAGTTCAATTTGATGGGACTCAATTTAATAACAATTATATGTAATCACTGTTTGATTATATCCTATTCTATTCTAATTTTTTCTCTGGTAGTTATGATCTTATGCTTCAATGCTGGCAACAAAAGCCCGATGAGCGACCAACATTTTCTGTACTAAAGGATACTCTGGCAGACATGTTGCAGAATAACAACGTATGTGTAATTTAAAACTTTTCTCCTCTTTTTAACAACGACAAAAGCATTAATTAATGAAAGAAAACAAAACAGACCCCAAAACTTCCTTTGACAGGGACGGCACAACAGTTACCCCTTCTCTTGACCTCTCTGAATAATGCAAGCTTTGTTTTCAAAAAACAAAATATAATATCATTATGTTAAAGAAGCTTCGTCGTCTCTTTTAAGAGATTAAGGCCCCGTCCACACGTGTTCGTATATTTTTGAAAACGAAGATTTTCCCCTCAGTTTTCAAAACAATATGCGTCTATATGTAAGCGTACTCGAATCGTTTTTGCCCGTCCAAATACGATAGCATACCTTTCAGACCATGCTCAATGCTAGTAGTATGTGAAGGATGGCATTTTCGTATTAAAAAACCTCCGTTTTCGTCCGTCCACACGTAAAATAGAAGGCAAGGTTTTCAGAAATCTCTTTTCTAGAGAGCGTTTTTGAAAAGATGCGTTTTCGGTGACCGTTTTAACCTGATACATGCGGATGGTAGGCCAACTGACCGGGGAATTTTTTTTCTATAAAAAGAGATACGTGTGAACGACGCCTAAAGCGTGCACACTGTCAATCTTCGTAAGATGAAATTAACAGGACTTGAAAAAAGAAAACAACAGAGAGTTGTTGCTCGATTTTTACGCACTGTGCGACATAAGATTAAGAGTTCTGAAATTTAATTGTACACTGTAGAAACAAAACACTTTTCCGCCACGATCGTTATATTTTACAAGTAACGTGATCTACTAAGCTACAGTCATAAAATCTCAGATTAACATTTCAATGACGGACACGATTTCAAGACAAGATTATTAAAGACCAAAACCCTCTCTTTAAAAGCAATAAACACTTATGTGACACACTACTGTATTTTGAATGCTCATCTGACTGACAAAACAACTACTGTAACTGCGACATAAAATTGCGTGTCATGGACCTAACAAACCCATCGAAAAGAAGAAAAAAGACCCTTCCCAGTGACGTGTAGTATTGTTCCCTCTGAAAAAATCTGCATTGTTCCCTCTGAAAAAATCTGCATCTTTACTTCCGGTATTGTTTTCCTCTTAAACAAACAAAACCTCATTCCTAGGTGTAGTATTTCTGAATGTTTAGTTCTAGCACTAGCCGCCCTATGTTTGTACATTAAGTAACAGAGCATGCGCACTGGTTGTAAATGATTAAAATGTGGCCTGAATAATGTTTGTGGTTAAATCCTGAATCATCCGTTATAGTTAAATCCAGCGATCCATAAACACATTAGGACCGTCACTTCCACAATTTTTTTTTTGCATTCAACCAAAATGAACCTCTCTAACAGTCCTCTAATTTGAAATTTAGCATTCAAAACAGAAATCTCTAAGCGCAGAAAAAAAAATTGTATGCTGACCTCTTTTTTGCGTAAAACTCTAGTAATAACTTATTAACAATTATTCCTCAAGCTCGAATGGACTCTGAGTTAATAACCGAATGGGCTATTGACTCAGAGGCCATGAGGGCGAGAGGAATAATTGTTTTAGTAAAATCCAACTAGTTAGTCGAAAATATCGAGAATGAAAATCTTTTAGCTGGTTAAAGCTAGACTTTTTGGCCGCCAAAAGGCCCGCGCTTCTCGCTACTAGTGGGCTATAACATATAGCCTAGTAGTAGCTCAACCAATCTGAACGCAGTATTGATAACAGAACACTAGTTGGATTTGACAGCAGCATTGATAATAGACCACTAGTTGGATTTTACTAATATCGTATATTCTCGATATATGAAACAAGTCTATACATTGTGTGTAGTTATAAACAAGCATCCGGCCATAAGGCCCTCCCCCCCGGATATGAACCGTCCTTCAAACGCATTAAAATGAATTCGATATATCTCGGCGTTTTGAAGCATAATTTCAAGAACACAGTAAATGCAAAACCATTTTTTGATCGGCACTACTACAGGTTTTTGGAAGCGTTTCTTTTCCATTACGGATATAAGCCCCTCCTTATTAAAACCACTTACAAAGATGAATAAGCCCAGGGTTTATAGGCGGCAGTTTACGGTATTCTTTTAAAGGAGGATGTTAAAACAAAGAAGCTGGAACTTAGCTGGAGTTTAAAATAGTTGTTCTTTTAGCGAGAATGAAACGTGCAGTTGGGCTTTATGTCACCGCACCGAAGATTTGGCAATTTCGTATTATTTACAAGTCTGATATAGTAAACGGAAAAATAAGAGACATATTGTTTTAATTTACTGACACACAACTTTAACTTTTTTCTTGACAGCATACATACGCTAACATGGAAGAATACAATACCCAAGACTACGGCTATATTGACGATCTTTTGGAGTAGAATATGTTTACAGATACCTTACGGGCGAAGGAATTCAGACTCAACTGTTCATTTATTCATTTATTCACTCATTCATAGTTTATTTGGTAAAGCATGCAGGTTATGTTAAAAGGCAGGTAAAGCTGATGTGGACCTGCTGATAAACTATCTATTGATGATATACAGCTAAAATTTAAAAAATGTACAGAAAACAGGTATAAAAAGAGAAAAAATATACAGTAGTAAGATAGTAAAATTAAAATACTATTTCATCTCGTTGAAATTTATATTGTCGAACAAGGGTCTGTTTTTCTTAAGAAGCTTTTAAAAAATGTTTAGACTTGGTGCTCTTTTTAAATTATCTGGAATGGAGTTCCAGAACAAAGCTCCCCTATATCTTAATGAATTCCTGCCCACCTCTAGGTTAAAGCGGGAAACCTGTCTAGGCATACAAAAGATAAAGTTGCCATCCACTGAAGATATCGCTAGAATTCTAACTAGCTTTAACGTATCCTTATCTTAGTCCAGACCTCAGATGGTCAAAAGAAACCTTCCACGCTCGACTTTCAAAAGAGTTTTACCTTTCACGGGCTCAAAGTTCACAGCTACGTTATAGCTAGCGTATGTTAATACGTACCTTCATAGATCCTGACACGGACTCCAAAATCATACGTACTCCTCATTTCCTACATGCAGGCATAACTTGATTGACACAATGACGAGATTTGACGTCATAATAACGTCATATTACTGCAATTACCCAAAGTTTAACGACATCTTGCTCCAACGGTGTAACACCCTGTATAATGGTAAAGTTATAGAAAGATGGACAGAAGGTTGCATACTCCCATTTCCAAAGAAGGGAGATTTAGGTTTGGCAAAAAATTGAAGAGGAATCACACTTACTCCTTTTGCACCAAAAATCTACAACTCACTGCCTCCAACAGAATACAGCCCGAAGTAGAGAAGGTGCTCCGGAGAAACCAAAACGAATTTCGGAAAAAACAGGTCTACTGTTCGACAAATCCTGACTGTACGGCGGATATCGAGGGCGTGAGAGTAAATAATCTATAGGCTGCCTTACTTTTCGTGCATTTCTCTAAGCCTTTGATTCTGTTCATAGGGGAAAAATGGAGAAGATCCTTCTGGCATACGGCATTCCCTCTGAAACAGTAGCTGCCATAATGATGCTGTAAAAAAAACACTAAATCTTTGGTCAGATCCCCCGATGGAGACACTAGTTTCTTCGACATTAACGCAGGCGTCCACACCCTTTAACCTTTTCTCTTTATTATTACTCTTATGTGATTTATGGTCTTACGTCATCGCACTATATTGACTTAATTAGCACGAATGTCGGTCGTTTCGCCTACACTCAGGTCGATTCGCCTACATGATCTCAGTTATTTCGCCTACACATCTAAGGTTGATCTGTTACGTTAAAAATTGCCGATTAAGTAACCGATACAAGTACTAGATGAAAGTTTATCTTTACCTTGGCGATCTTTAGTACATTGAAGAATGTGATTGCTGAAATCAATTATGACTTAGACTAAAAGAACAAGAGTGATTGCAAGTTTTTTTCAAATGAAATAACACCATGATACGAAGAAAAAATTGGAAAGATCGTTATACATTTACTCTACATTTTTACTCATTCCTCAGACACTTTTACAAACAACCATATTTCTTGACTACAACTATTACTAGTACATGCGGGGACGTGTGGCACCCGAGTGGCACCCGCCCCTTATAGCAAATTGTAATTATAGTATCATACACGCGCAACTTTAGAGGTTAGACTTTGCATGTCAAGAGCCTATTGTTTACTGATGCCTGCAATTTCACTTTCCTTTGAAAGACAAAATTTTGAATTTATTTTCAGTTATTCCCCATAAACTATTAGACTGAATAACAAATTTACTAGTTCTCACGGCTAGACTGCTGGCAGTCCGCCTTTTTCTCGTGAAACTGATCCGTCTAGTTCTTATCTCAGTTAGAACGCTTGCAAACCACGACATTATTATGTTACAATACAGTACTACGACCAGACGAGAAAGACGGACTGCGGACCCCATTGCTGTAAACAAACTTTCCGTCAGCCCAGAAACGGAGTAGCTGATTGGTCAATTTTACAGCTGTTAACAGATCATTGACTGGTCTGTGGCGGAGATACAAGCGATAAAAATAGTCACGCGTTACAACTAACTACGAACAATTACGAACCTAGTGGTAATCGCCTGTGAACTAAAAATGCTTAAGCATATCTAGTCTTACAGAATGAAACTGCTGTAAATTTCCTCAAGGAAAGGAATTCAAGGCAATCTTACTGGATTTTTTAAAAAAGTAAAATTTTCCAGTTGTTTATGTGCTATTTATAATTCGTTTCAAGAAAATCGGGTTTAATTGGTTAATTAAGTTACCTTGACAACCTCGTTGTCCCCAGACAGAACAAAAGAGTCAGCAGTCTCATCAATTTTTCTTCTCAGGCTTACGCCCTCGTTTATCGCGGCTCGCGGCTTTGCTGCTCGCGTGCCTGGGTTTCTCGTGCAGTAACTTTGCAAATAACAACAAGAGACTGCTCGCAGTCTATCTCACGGCAAGTCATTGCACTTTACACTTGCTCGCGCAAGACTTTGCAAGCAAGGTGCGCAAAAAAGTATTATTTACTTATGCTGGGCAGTTTCGTTTGGCTCTCAAAGACTAATCTTAACCCACTTTCATTTTATGCTGGTCTCCATAGCCTATAAAAATCAGTCCGAATGACGAATAAACTACTTCTCGCAGCAAGGCTAAATATATTCCACTATCAGATTTACGGTTTGCACTTTGACTCAAAGTGACACGCGCGGCTTCAGAGGTGATTCTTTGCATATTTTCACAATTGTAATCCATTTTCAGTTATTCTCGCCTCCATACCCTAAGAATCAGTCCGAATAACGAGTAGACT